TTACTCCATAGGTAACACCTTACTGCAAGCATGACTGTGTATGTGTACTATTCCAGAGCATTAATTTTAACTTAAATCCCCTGTGCTTTTTGTGGTCCTTTCAGAAAGGCTTTGGAATTCACTTGATGTGTACTAAATGTTGATTATTCTATGTCTTTCCTACATGGATCCTGGCAAACTGGTAGCTTGGATTCTGCCCCCAGAACCCTGCAAGGCTGTGTGAAGTGTGGTGTATGCATGGGATGACAGAGCAGGGAGAAAAGGAAATTTTACAGGGTTGTCAAAGGGGATAAAAACAAACTGTGATGTTTAAAAGTGCACCTGACTTTCCACCTGCAGAAGAGTTCATTGAGACAGACAGAGGATGCATAACCGTGGCTGAAGGCTTGCAAGGATTTTCTTTCTCAAGTGTGTAATTAAGACAGTCTTCACCTGCATTAAAAAGCAGCCCCAAAATCAAATGCATCTCTCTTAAACTTTATAGTATTGGAGATATGATATTTTTTAAAATAAAAACATTAGATTTCTAATCTTGTGGCAGGAAATTTGTATTTACTGTACTATGCCAACCTGTATCCATTGGCTGGTGCCTATAAATACCTGTTTTGTTCACAAGCAGGTAAAAATTGCAGGTAGTGTCTGGGAGCAAATGTGGGAAGGGAATTCCTCCTGAACTCACAGGGTTTCATAATTTTTACTGCTTGGGGGCACATGGGTTGATTATACATGTCATCTGGATTTTGTACAGAACAGTGGTTGTGTTTGAAGTACTGTGTTTGACTCGGAAGCTAATATATTTGGTATTTAGGAATCTGGCAAGAGAAAGTTCTGTCCCCATATGCATGCACAGCTATGAGATGGGATGTAGGCATGCGTGACTGTTATTTCCCCCCGTCTGTCCTATCCCTAGAAAGCCATATGCCACCCTTGGGCTAGCATAATGGGAGTCTGTATTAATGATCATGAGCTAGAAATAATCCAAGAAGAGTTGGGTGGCCTTTGTTTCTAGCTTTATGAGAAATACCTCATTGACTCAGTAGGGTCTGAAATATGTTCTGGGCTAGAAAGTCATAATTAATACAGAATTTCATGATGCCCTCTCTTGAGCTTTTTTTTTTTCTTTTTAGCTAATTTGGTCAGAGACTTGGAGATTCTTAAGTCTAACAGACAGAGTAGAAATTTAAGCAAGGAGGTAGGAATTTAGAAAGTTGTTGACTCACCTGCTATCAGACATAAGCATCTTGAGTACACATCTCTGGAGAGCCTATCTCTGCAAGATTTCTGTAGACATTGAATGCCTTCTCTGTTGGCAGCCTTCAAAATGAAAACTGTAAGTATGTATGTATAGAAGGTAGGGATGGGAAAAGGAGAATATGGAAATGGGCTGAAGTATTAAAGCAAGCAATGAAAGCAGATAGTTTACTTTGGATTTTATAAAATAGGTTTCTCTTTATTTTGTTTTAAATGAAAACCATCAACTGTCAGCATTGCAAACCTATTTGCAGCAGTACCATAAGTATTAGGAGTGTAGTTGTCCCTGAAACATAAAAGGGCAGAGGGTTTTTCGGCTGCTTCCCATCTTCATGTTTATGGAATTGTGTATGCTCTGTGTGCATTAGAGTTGAGCAATCTCATCACAGCCTTTCCTCAAAACTGATTGCTGTTCACTGTCTCTTCCTCCTTCCTCTCCCTTGTCAGTTGGTTACATCGCAGACTCTCATTACATTTCATTTTGATACTGCTTCCATTTTTCACTAAACTGGAAGAGTTTAAGGGTCTGGAGTGGATACTGAATGTCTAGATACATTCTTTAAATGATGTAATTCCTATCATCATGGAAAAGTTTAGAGCTGGATTATTACTTTAAGAAGAAATTACTCTTTGCTCATTCAGAGCTGAAGTCTGGTCATCAAGATGTTAGAATATGTGCTGCAGAGCTCTTCAGATACTGTCATGAGTGCAGAAGTTGTTGCCAGCAGCTGTCTTGGGTTTTGGACACCTGCTGCCTCTCATTTCTCGCATCTCCCACTCTATCTTCCACTCCCAAAGTTGGCAGTGCCCCTAAAAATACTTTGTGTTGAGTTCTTAAGTAGGAGATCTCTACCAAGCTGGCAGTCTGGATTCCTGAGTCACTGGTCACACTACAATGAAATTAGTTCTATGACAGAGTTATTGATCATGGCAAGGTAAGTGATATTGGGGGGAAGCTGTTTCCAGTCAGGTTAAAAAGGCATTGCCCTTCCTAAAGCTGCTTGTCTTACTGTGCTGATCCCTTCTTCCCTCCCTGCCAATCGCAGAACTAGGTTTTGATTGTTCACTGCCATTTTACAGTTGTCCAGACCATGACAGACATGAGGGGTGTGCCTGACATGTAAGGGTGATGTGGTATGTGGGTTTGGGAAAAGATGTTGGGAATTGTCCTTGTGAGTGAAATAGTAATTTGGCACTGTGTTCTTTATTCCATTGGAAGTTGGAGTGTAACCTTCTCCTGCCTGAACAATCAGTGCTCAAATGTGAAATTCTCAGAAGCACAAATGCATTACTTTCATAGTTCCCATGTCCAGCCAGAGTCTCCAAGTGGACTGTGTCATCTTTCCCTCCCATATGAATACCTATGCAGAGGTTGCTGGTTTGGTCTGAGATCCCATTTCAATAACCTTTTGCCTCTGGTTCAGTTAAGAGGGATATCTTGATTTGTTTTTGACCTCAGATGATTAAGTCCAGTATTTATTCAGCTATACAGTAGGTTACCTGGATGAGAAATGAACCCTTTTAGCAGGATTGACCAAGGGTGCTAAAAGATGACTTCTGTCCCAGGGTGGAATTCTGAAACTCACATTCATTGCCATCTGGGAGCTGGAAGTGAAGCTCATTTGGTTAGGAAGTATGGAAACCAGATATTGCTTGTTTTATAAACAGGTTGCTTTAACTTCAAAAGTATTAGTGGACAGGCTGTGCCTTTTGTTATCAGTCAAAGGTGGTAAGTGCAGGTTTGCAAAGAGATCTTGGCACATACTTAGGAGGTAGCAAAACTTAAACCAGTGTCCCTCTTGAGTTTTCATTTTTGTATTATTTTATTACTATATTTTATTTAGTCTGTGCTTCTCACCAAATGTAGTAATTTTTCCCCAACGCAGCAATATGTCCTACTGCATCTACACATGTTTTAATTTCCCCGTTTCCATTCAGTGGGGTGTGTCTGTCTATTCTTGGAGTAATAATTTTTCCCCCTCCTGAAAGTTGACAAAATTAAAGCCTTTGGCAGTACCTGCAGAAGAGATTACTTTGTGATTAGTAACACTGTTATGTTCCTTAAAACCCTAATTCTGCTGCTGTGCATTGCTTCTTGTGGAGCATCTGTTGGAGATAGGGCTGGTTCTGTCTCCTTGCTCTCTTCTCAGCAGCTGTCCAGTGCCACTGAGTTAGTACCTCGTGTTCATTTTGTCATGCGAGTGTTTGTTTGTCCACCAGGAATGTGTCAGTTCATGGCTCGGGCACCCAGGGATGACAGATGTACATCCAGTAAAGAGTTAATGGTGTGCATGACCTACCTGCAGAAATAATAACAGGCACCATAGAGAGTGCCATGTTCCTCCTGTCTATCTGCTGAGGATGGACAGCCTTGCAGTTGCTGAAACATAAAAACAAAGCTAACACATCTGTCGTGCCTGTAAAAATCACCAGGAAGAAAAATGTTATTCAAATCAGGTTTTTGTCAAGATTGGTCAGTGATTACTAGTGAACACCTGTTGTGTATTGGTTTGTTTGGCCATGGACTTGATGCTGCTCTATCAAACCTGTCTGCAGAAAGGAGGGAATTGGCTTCCCCCAGTCGAGCTGTAGGTGTTCAGTTCAGCCCTCTCAGCTGCTGCAAAGGATGAGGATGGATGACGCACATAGCTGATGACACATCATCCCTCAGTTACCTGAAGTAGTCGCTCTGTGTTATTAAAACAATGGCAGATCCCATAAACATATTACCTTCTACTGTCTGCTCCCTCTTGCATTGAACTGTGACCAAGAGGAAAGTTCCTTGTGCCCTGTCAGCTCCCCTCAAATAAATAATCATAATAAAATACGCCAGCCTTTCTGAAGCTCCTGCTTAGCCAATGTGCTGCTGATTGAAGGTAGTTCTGAGAGGCAGGGAAGGCTTGCAGCCCTTGACAGCAAATGGGAGCTCTGCCTGCCTCATAAATGCCTTGGCTTCAGAAGGAGGTGGTTATGGGCATGAAATGTTTATCATCTTGTACTTGCTTTGCTGCTGCTGGGTTACTGTGTAAGTAAAAAGTAGTAATAAGTAAAGAAGAGGCAATACAGCAGCCTGCTTTATCTGCTTGTCTCCACACTTAAATAGGCTTGTGCACAAAGAAGGAGCAGGTGGAGGCAACTTGGGTTTAACAGAGGTTTGGACTGTGCGCTAAAGATGTGTTCTATTGCCTATGAAAGGGGATCTGGTTGGAAATCTGTTCAGTCAGCTGGCTTTCTGTTAGGAAGCACTCTTTGAAATTGTCCGTGGAAGAAGATGACTTGCTATGTAGATCAACTTGTGTGTTCAGAAATGCCTGGGCAAAAGGATACTTGTTCTTTGCACATAGCTGGAAAGAGCATAGTTGTTGACCACCTCCTTTTGAGTCTGCCCAGCATTGCCATATTGAGGGCTGTGCATATCAGCCTCTCTAATGTTGTGCAGCATCTTGCATGGCTCCCTGGAACTGGTTGTTTCTCAGCTGCCTTTGCTCAGCTCCCACCCTACATGGGGATCCTGTAGGGGCTTTGCTTTATTTTTGGGGGTGCATGTGCTTTTGTTTTGCTTTAACAGCACAGTTCCCAACAGGGGACAGCACTGCATTGCTTAAGACGCTTGTCATTTTTAAGGAACTTTTCTAAACTCATCATCCTAAAAGCTATATTGTGCAGCAGCAGGCAGTCTCCATAAACCACTGATTTCTCTTTTTCTTCTCTCTCCCTTCCTTTCTCTCTTGTGCTCTCTTTATTCCAAGCCTGAGGATTTGGACGCCTGGGTAAGCTCTCTTTTTTTGTCTGGATCTTGCTTATTCCAAGTGTCATGTTGTTACTGTGCGCGTACAGATTGTTATTGCTGAGCACAGATGCAGGATTTTATTTTCTGTCATTACATTTTAAAAGGTGTTCAGCTAGAAAATTGCATATTATTTCCTCCATAAAGATTTTCACTGGTTCCTTTTGTGTAGCTTACAGCTGCTGAAACCAAACTTGGTCTGGTGATGTGTGTTGTTGGCTAAGAGAGCAGTAGAAACAGGAGGAAATGAAGGTTACACCAGTACTGCTTTTTATGGCCATGAGTCGCAACTAGTTCATTTTAAAAGGTGTTCAGCTAGAAAATTGCATATTATTTCCTCCATAAAGATTTTCACTGGTTCCTTTTGTGTAGCTTACAGCTGCTGAAACCAAACTTGGTCTGGTGATGTGTGTTGTTGGCTAAGAGAGCAGTAGAAACAGGAGGAAATGAAGGTTACACCAGTACTGCTTTTTATGGCCATGAGTCGCAACTAGTTTCTAAAGCAAAGTCACCTGCTGATGAGAGAAAGGACAAAACCCCAGGGATTTTGTGGGCCTTGTGTGTCTGGAACAGCGGCTGCAGACAGCTCCACAGTAATGGTGATATTTCTGCTGATACAGCTGGAGGTTGAGTCAAGGCTCCCCCGTGGTTAAGCGTTTGGTACAAGCCTCCCTGTGAAGTTCTGGTGTTCGTTGTCAGGCATAATGTGCACAAACTGCCTCTTACTCTTTCAGTGTTGCCCTTTCAGCTCTGTCATTCCCTTTAGACTTGGTCAGGAACACTCCAGCTAGCTAATCTTGGAGTTCGTTCTGCTCTGTAGTGAATTCCTGTCAATTCCTGCTTCCCATCTTGGAGTCTTTAATAGCATTTGTTTTTCTCCCTTGCCACCTGGACTGCTACCAGGACTGGAAGAGACTTGGGAAAGAATGAGGTATCAGAATTTGCAGTTGTGAAGTGTGGCAAGCTGAGGTGCTCAGCCAGAACATCTCTGCTGTGGTGCTGCAGAGATGTTACTGGGTACCTTTGGGGGAAGCTGATAACTCCTCTCAGCCAAGAATGATGTAGAAACTAGGCGTTTGATAGACTTAAGGACCTTTATCTTTGTCGCTTATATCCCTGGATTGCTTCCGACTGATTATCTAGGCATCATCTCGCTGGTTCGTCTGTCAGTGGTGAATGTGTTTTGCCAAGGAGATAAATATTTTTGCAATAATCTTGCCAAATGCTGTGACTTGCCTTTGAGGACGTTCTTTATAGGTTGAGGCGTGGACCTTTCCCTCTAGCTTTACTTGCCCTTTGCAGAGGGGAGGGGTGGGTTTTTTTGTCTTCCAGTAGAGTCTCCTCCATGCCCTCTTCCCAAATCCCAGAATCCCAGCAGTATTGCTGAGAGAGACAGCCTGATGGTAGCCATCAGCTGTGGGCTGTGCTATTGCTGCACTTTATTCCTGGGTGCCACATTCCCTACTGTCATCTGACCCTGCCAAGAAGCCCTTTTTTTTCCAAACAGATTTCCTTCCTAGTTTTCCTGTTTAACAAGGTGATGAGAAGAGACTGTGATTAAAAATAATAAAAATCTGGTGATATTTTTTTTTGGGGGGGGGGGCAAAGCCAAAGCTAATTTGGGAAGGGTTGTAGCTAGAGTGAACCCAGCTCTAGAATATCAGTTGCACAGTCTAATGTGTGGCTTGTTGGTGTCAGTTCAGGACAAGGCTAAGAGTGCCTGGCTTTGTTCATAGAGAATGAACCAATAATATTTCATTACCTCAATTAGGAGGCTTGTAAAATATTTCTTTTGGCTTGCCTGTCAGCTAGCAGGCCAGTGCTTGAATTCTTTAGCTGAGCCAGTGTGTAATGCATAGCTTTGGAAATGTGCTTGCACAGTTTGTTTCTAAATGGGTTGCTTGATAAAGGGAGAGAAGGAGGCAGAGAATTGCACATGATTCTGTCCTGGCTCTTTGTCACCATTCAGAGCAGCACTGAGATAACCTGCAACTCTGGGCTGTGGAAAAAATGTAAAGATAAAGCATAGGAGGAATTTGAAAGAGCCCCCAACCAGTCCATGGATCTGTGCCCATGGAAGCTGTAGTAGCTTGTTAATAACATGCCTTCACTGTCCTTTGGTAAGAATGCAATGCTTGTAACTCCTGATGCCATCACAGGGGCTTCTTGAGCATTTATTGCATGTATCTTACACCTAACTTTTGTACAGAGGACAGTTGCTGGTTGCATACATGCTCTTTTGCAAATAGGTCCCATGGTACTTTCCTAAGTTTTGAGTGCATTCCTGTGTTCTATAGCTGCGTATGCTCTTCCTTCCTTCTCTCTGTTTTGTTTCTGTGTTCGTACTTCTTGGACATCACTCTCAGGTGTGTTCTACACTCCAGTTTCTTAGATGTCATCTCTGGGCTTTGGTCAGCTCTTGCACAATATGTTCAAACTCCGATGTAGCTTCTGCGGTGTGGAAGAGAAATGCAGCTTTCTGATATATGGTGTTCACACCAGTGTGTTATCATGCATGTCTTCCCTTCTCCTTCCTTCTTTAGTTCTAAAGACATTTTTGTGAAAAGTGTATCTGATGCTTTGTTTGGCACCTGCAATCTCAATCCCCTGTGAAATTGTAATCATCTCCATAGCAGCCAGTTCTGTCTGGGACATCACAGGCTTCTGACTTCAGGTAGGGAATAAGCAGCAGGACTAGAGGAGCTCTTAATAAGTATCCTTTATTCATTCAAAATGTCCCTGGTTGCCTAACCCAGTTTGGAACAGTGAATATTTCAAATGACACATGCTCTGACTGTACCGTTCATACTTCAAACATCATCATAAAGTGTACTAAAGTTTCTAGTAATAACAGCTGGGGATAGAGGGAAACAGAAAGCAACTTTGAAGCAGATCTGTCACAAATAGAACGTTTCTTAGTATACTTCAATGTGCTGAAACATCAGCAGCTCTTGAAAACAAGCAAGACATAGAAAATATGTTTGTGTTGTGAGTACAAGTTTTCTCTTCAGCCTCTGGTTCATCATATGTTCTGGGCAAGAAGTGGGACATAATGGGGGATAATATGGGAGAAATTACTTTGGGGAAAGAATGGGGAATATTCTGAGGTTGTAATCTGCAGTTGGGAGTTCTGGGTTTGGTTCTTACACATCAGTTTTGCAAGACCCTCGAGAAGTGACTAACAATGTCTGCTGCAGGGTGCGTTGGTGTGGTGGAGACATTATTCACTGTGGGCATCCCAGCTCCAGTCAGGTCTGCTTGGGAGTCTGTGGGTTGTCAACATACAGATCAGCACACCTACAACCTGTCTGCATCTCAGCGCCCTACTTGAGAGATTAGGTACTTGGTTTGTGTTCCCTTCCAGAGGTGTCGTATGGGTAAATATTTTGAATGTGAATGAGGTCAGGCAAGCTCACAGGGTGGAAAGATGAGTGGGTGTGTGGATACATGATCCATGTCTTGCCAGAAACAGAATAAAGCCTCTTGCCCACTGGTATTTTTACATGTCTTGGTTTGGTGCTTCCAGGATAGCCTGCTATCCCTGGAGACTTCGCACTGCCACATCATTAAACTGTTTAGATTAAGCAGAAACTTTCTTGAGTTTTTAAGAACTCATCATTTGACTTCCTTTTTCTTTTTTTTTTCCTTCCTTCACATGAAAAGCACCTTCCATCTGAATCGTGCAGAGGAGTCAGTACTGCCTTACTCTTCTTTTTTTTCCGTATTAATTTTCTCCTTAAGGAAATGCAAGTCATTTATTTAGTACTGTGATTTTATGGGTGTTATGCAGAAAATCCACAGGAGAATCAGGGTCCTTTGGTCATCCATCAGACCACCACCCCACCTTCTTACACCTGTTTATTTGAAATGCTTAGTCCTTTTCTCTGTAGAAGATGGATATTGGTTCAGAGGGACAGCTGGGGTTTTCCTATCAGAAAATGATAATAAATTTGGCACTTATGAAGTACCCATCAGTGCCCCATTGTTGCTGTGATATCTCTTTTGTCAGGCTACATGTATGGGGCAGCTCATTCTCATCCCTCTCCCCATCCTATTCCAGCTGGTTTGCAGGCAGGAATTTATATAGCAGCTCTGCTTAAGGCAAAGCGAGAGATTTTCCATTTAATCAAGTACCTTTGAGAGTGAGAGGATTTAGATATGAGTCTATATTGCTTGTTCCTTACCCTAGCACTGTTGGCTGGGATGGCAGATAGGGAAACCAAAATACTTCTTTTTCCTACAAACAAACACACACCACCACACCTTTACAACCCTCCTATCTCATGTACTCCTTTGCTTGCATACTGATTGAACATCCCACACTGTCTAGTTTAAAATCTCTTCTAAGCCCTATTATGCCACTGTATTTCCATCAGCAGGGGAACAGAAAGAAGGAAATGCACAGCAACTTGCTTTCAGATGTAATTTTTCTCGTTAGCAATGCCTTTTGGCTGTAAAATGACAGGTCTGAGCCCATGGGGATGTTTCTGTCCCAGCTGCTTAATCATATTGGACCAGCATTTTCTGTGGTTGTACCATCATCATTAGAAGTTAAGAGTAATGCTGCTGGGACGCTATGGATTGGCAGAGTTTGTGTCCATGTCAAACAGGCTAATAATTCAGATTTTGAAAGGTCCTCTGCCTCCTGATGTTTTATGCGGCCCCTGAGATTTCTGAAGTGGGATGGGGGATGAAGAACAAGTGCCATTCTTAATTGAGCACTGCTTAGCTGATGATCAGGTTATTCTGAAGCATGTGCTTGTACACCAGATTTGCTGTTTTGGAAGTGTCACACTTATACTTTAGAAGATGGAGGATAATATCTCTGACACTCACCTCCCCTCCAAGTCTGCAGCACCCAGCCAGAGGAACTCCAAAGGTGCTGATGGGAAATGCACACTTAGTATATCTGTTTTAGGAAAGTATTAAATCTTTAGAAGTATTCTGACACTGCAAGGGGCAAGAGTTTATGAAGTGGAGGATATGAGGTTTGGAGTTTGTGTTGGTGCTTTTTTTTTATTTTTTATTTTTTTAAGGTAAGGTAAGGTGGAGAACTTCGGAATAATTACTGTCATGATTCATGGATAAACCAAGGCACAGATAAGATGCAGTTCTGCAAAAGGCAGTAGGAAGGTGTCACATTTCTATGATTATATGTTTTCATTTAGTAAGAAGTAGTAAAATCAAGGTTATGAGTTTGAGTGTGTTACTAATAAGAGCATTTCAAACTTCTGGGGATAACCCAAAGTGAACTGCAATGCTCAAGGTTTGTAGTTCCACTGAGAGGGATCCCATGCACCAATCCTGAGCAACGACTTTGTTAGTTCCTGCCAGTCTCTATCCCATGTGCTTTCCTTGCACTCACATTGTTTATTTTTAATTTCTTCTTCTACTGTTGTTCTTCCCAGGCTGTGGAGCTGGAAGGCAGAGAGGCAGAGTTGAAGCGACAAGAGGCCTTCTATAAAGAGCAGTTGGCTCGTATTGAGAGGAAGGTAAGACTAAGTTCTCTTTATTTGTGGCCTCTGTGTACCACTGGGGTTGGATGCAGGTCCATGTGGATCCAAAGAGCAGAGAACCAAGAAACCTTGTGCTGAAACCTGCAATTGTCAGCTCCCAGTATCTATCTGCCCCCCACCCCTTATGTAAGTGATGGAAAAGGCTGTACAAATCTTTTGAGCAGCTTGCATTAGAATGATAAAGGGTTTTTAGCTGGATGATTTTTAAAAAAAGATTTCTAGTACTTCAAACTTTATTTTGTTTTTCACTATGGGCTTTAGGTGAAATCTAAATTGAAAAACACCAAAACAAGTACCTTGTTTTTTATTGCTTTTGTTTGTTCCTAAATAAAAAAAACCCAAACCACCACAACATAAATCTTGCTATAAATATGAATTAAAGTTCTATTATTTATTTTTCTCTGGGGAGCCAAACAGTTCAAAGAGCAGTGCTGCAGTGCACTGCCTGCTTCTCGCTGGATAAGCCTTTGAAATGAACATGATTTAAAGAGACACTGTCAAGCATCTTTTAAGCCTGAAATGACCTTTGAAAATCCATTTAGGGATTTGAATCTCTCCCCTAAACGTGGGATTTGCTTCTCTGTTTAATTGTTTACCATGATGAGTTTTTAAAAATTGATGCCATAAAAATAGGAGCAGCCATGCTGTTCCTTATGAACTAATGTGTTCTTCACTTCCTGGCAAAATGAAATAATGTTATAAGTAGTCTTTATTTTTTAATAAATGTGGAGAATAATCTTCTCCAATTTGAAGCAATTAAACCTCCTGACAGGGAGCTGCATATGCTCGACTTGTAGTTGTGTTATGTGACTAAGAAGAAATGCAAACAATGAAAAAGGTGTGTTGTAAAGAGGCAGAGAAATCAATCAGCTTTACTACCAACGTGTAGCATGATGGTGAGTATGGAACATGGGGAAAATTGCAGATTATATAATACATAATTGCAGAAACGGTAGGAAACTGTTGGCATATCTATTCCTCTTCTCATTCCCTGCTACTGCATGATTGTCCATGCAGTGGTTTTTTTTAAGCCATCAATGGCATAACGTGCCCATGAGCAATTTCACATGATACAATTTTGCAACACTTTTAATCCATACAGTTCATTAAAAATAAACTATTAGAACTAGCACTCAGTGTTGCGTTTGGATTTTAAATTCTATTTCTAGATAATGGGGATTGTTCAGTGGAATTGCAAACAATCTAGCAGCTATCGTTCTAATTATCACAGTTGTCCATATGTTCATACGCAAAGGGAATTTTTGCAATTTCTTGGGCTCATGCTGTGTGCCTCTATTATGCTCTTCTCTCCGGATCTGGTTTCATGAAGCGGAAATTACAGGGAAAACCTGTATGTGTGTCTGTCCTTTATGGACAGTGGAGTGGGGAGAAGTTTGTGTTCAGGCTTCATTGTCCTCCTTTTGAAATCTTTTGTGGTAGTTTGTGTTTTCAAGCCCATGTCCCTTGCTGCAGGGACACCTTCTAAACAATGCGGTGAGTATTTTAGTGCTGGATCTTCTCAGGGGAGTAAAGTGACTTGCCCACAGTCCTATTCAAACTGCAGAGCTGCAGAGAAACAATCTTCTAGTCGTTATGTGTACAAGAGCGAGTAGATGAAAAGAACAGGTTTTCTTTCCTCTCTTGAAACACTAGATAGTTTCTGACCCTTAAACACTAGCGTTTTGCTGGTAATAAAATAGAAGAATGCCTCCAACCATTAGTCTGGATTGGAGTGGGAGGTGGTGGGGGCTAGAAGGGAGAGGAGAGAAATGTACTTGAAACAGTGTAATAAAGCTTAATTGTATTAGTTTTGAAAAAGGTTTTTGATCTTCTCTGTGGATAATTTTATTCCTATAATGGTTGGAAAGATGGAAAATGCAGCACAGAACAATCTTTTTTATTAGCTGTTGCTTTTATATAATTCTGCTTTTATTTGTTGAATACACGCAGACCTTGACATTTATTTATTTATTTTTCCTTCCACTGTGCTAAAGCTTTCCGACTCAGGCTGAGAAATATTTTTATATATCTATGTATACGTGTGTCTGTATTGGAAAAAAAGCTGTCAGCAAGGGGATGTGGTGGGGAAGAACTCTGAAATAGAGCTCTTTGCTTTCTCTGGTGTTTTAAGAGGGGACACTCACTTGGAGTGTGGTCACTGGTAGTTCAGAGGTGTTGGGCTGGCAGTGGATGAATGTGATGGGTCAGTGCAGAGTTAGCAAGCTGACATTTCCCCTTGTAAGCATTAGGCTGTCAGGAATTCCCCTCTTTGCTCCCCTGCTATGCCCAGGTTGTCTTTGTCGCCACTTCTGCATGGTAACAGAATTCAGCAGTAGGAGACTTGGAGATTTGTTTTTTAAGGATGTTTTGAACTATTGATGTTCAAAACCAAGTACCTTCTCAGTAGGATGCTAAGAGTAATTGTGTTCCATACTTCTGACAACATAAGAACTGCTGCAGTGAGTCAAACACGGAGACTGTCCTGTTCCTTCTGACAGTGGTCAGTTTGCAAAGGCTTTGAAGGAAGAAGCAAAAAAAAAAAAAAAAAAGCCTCACCAAAACAAAACCACAGAGAAAACTTTGGGAGAGCAGCTTTGAGAAGAGTGTTCCAAAGTGTTGTCAGTCGGAGGCTGACACATGCCCTGCTGTAAAGGAGTTTATTTTCATTCAGTATTTTTATTCACTGTAATGGAACTTGGATTACTGCCATCATTCTTCTGTGTGTCTCAGGCATTGTTTCTGAAGCCCTGTTTAGCTCTGTGCCTCCAACATCATGTGGCAGTGTGTGCCACAGGTTAACTTATGTACTCTATAAATTGTCTGTTACCTGTTTCAAATACTCTTCATTTAATATCCTTTATGTGAAAGAGATAAAAGGAATTATCTTCATTATTCATTATCTGTGGACTTCTGTACCCTCTTTTACCTGCCTGTTAAGCTGAGCAGTCCTTCCCTTTTCAGCCTCTGCTTGTGTGAATGATTTTTTCCAGGTTTCTCATTCTACTTGTTTGTCTTTGGGCACTTTCCCCCTTGCAGCTCTGTCTTTGAGGTGTATTGACCAGAATTGAACTCAGTAGCTGCCTTGAATGCAGCAGATTGTGTGAATACATTATCCTTTTATTTTGTAATCTCTGAAAGAGTACTGTAATCTACTGGACAGAGCACAGAATTGGAAGGAAAAACCTGCTCATTTTCTAATAGCCATTTCTCTTTTGGGAGTTTGAAACAATTATTTAGTCCATCTATCTCAGTTATTTCATCTATATGATGGAATAGCTTATAATGGGAGGGCAAAGTGTTGTGAAACAGTAAAGCTATAAAAATGCTAAAAAGGCTTTGCCTTTAGTTTTGCATGAGATGAACTATGGGTATACCTTATTTCAAATAGATCTTGAGAAACTCAGTTCCTCCTGACAGTCTTATTAAAATTTTCACAGGAAAAGGCATGTATGAAAAAATAATTTCAGTGTTTCAGCTTTGGGGTTTTCCTTACATCTTCTACTAAAGCAGTGGAAGAAGTGAGACAGTGAGTGCAGCAATGCTGTGTCATGCTAAAGATCCATCTAGTTCAGTATGCTGGTCCTGGTTGTGACTGAAAGTGAACGTCCAGGGATAGCTGTAAGATCACTGGAACAGATTGCCCAAGGAGGTCGTGGATTCCCCCTCACTGGAGACACTCAGGAACTGTCTGGATGCAATCCTGTGCCGTGTGCTCTAGGATGGCCCTGCTTGAGCAGGGAGGTGGGACCAGATGACCCACTGTGGTCCCTTTCAACTGACCTGACCCATTCTGTGGTTGTGATCAGAACAAGGTTATGGGTGCTTGTCCCAAGTGCTTTGATCATCCTGGCTGGTTGTCTTCGGACCTCTTCCACATCTATTTAATGCTCTCTGCGAGGTGTGAACCAGGAGTGTGCGCGCAGTGCTCAGGATGTGTGTGGGCCATGAGCATGTATGGCAGCTGTGTCAGAATCACTGTTTGGTTTTCTGTTTCTTTGTAGTGCCTGACACTTGATTTGCACTTCTGACTTGTGTTGAGCGAATGCCATGCACTGCTGCTGCTGGCAGCATTCAGCTGTTTTGAGCACAGACTTCAGTGCATGAAGGAGCTGTGTGTACTGGGATTAGAGCAATGCTGGGATAAGTTGCTGGGAGTATTCTTCCCACTGCACCCTTCCTTATCAGTTTGTCAGGGGTTGTGTGTGGGAGGGGGTGGTAGGCTTTGTTCTGCCTGCAGTGTGGTGCATCCTTTTTAGACTTTTTTTCAATCAAATTTTATTGAGCAAATTCCTTGCAGAGAATCAGGACACTGGTAATGCCCTTGATCTTCCTCACTGTGACTCCTATTTTAGTCCCTTGGGTTGTCTGTGTGTTTTTGTTTTGGAGTGCCTGAAATATTTTAGTAATCAGAAAAATTAGAGGGAATAGATCCTTTGAACTGATGTATTCCTTATATGACTGTGTGTAATTGCAGGGTTTGGAGCTGGTGGTACAGACATACCATTCCACACCTGTGTTTCCAATGTGACTGTCTAATCTCCAATAAGTAATCCAGTAATGAGACCTGGGTAATTTGTTATAAGCAGTTAAACTTCTAACTCTGGCTTGTTAGAGTAATTTTACATCTCATCCATGTAATTTGAATTGTTTTACAAAATGTGGGTCTTCTCTCAGTCATTTTGAAGGAGATTTTGTACTGTAGTGTGTCTTTGGGTAGAAAGAATGAGAGTTAGACCTAATAATCTGTAAGGAAAACCTTAAAAACACTCAATTTGAGAAGTTTAAGATGATGTTCTTTCATGCATTTATTTGTTACTGAGAAGCAGGGAGGGAGATGGAGGGAGCTTGGTGTAAATAGTTAACATATAATACTGCTCAGAACTGGGATTTTTATTAAGGATTCTTTATAAGTTTTGTCCTGCTTTCTCCAAGTTGTAGAAACATCCTTTAAAAAGTATGATAAGAAAGAAATGCAG